GTGGCGTTGCTCAGGTGTTTCTGAAGCTTCTAACTCCTTTCGTCTCTCACGCCGTCCTGTTAACCTGGCCTCATGTTGCTCAGGTGTTTCTGACGATAATAGCTCTCTTTGTCTGTTACGTTGTAATCTTAGCCTTGACTCATGACGCTCAAGTGTTGCTATTAGCTCTCTTCGTCTGTCACGTTGTGATGCTAGCCTAGACTCATGACGCTCAGATGTTTCTGATGCTAACAACTCTCTTTGTCTGTCACGTTGTGATGCTAGCCTGGACTCATGACGCTCGGGTGTTTCTGACGCTATTAGCTCTCTTCGTCTGTCACGTTGTGATGCTAGCCTGCACTCATGACGCTCAGGTGTTTCNGCTCTCTTCGTCTGTCACGTTGTGATGCTAGCCTAGACTCATGACGCTCAGATGTTTCTGATGCTAACAACTCTCTTTGTCTGTCACGTTGTGATGCTAGCCTGGACTCATGACGCTCGGGTGTTTCTGACGCTATTAGCTCTCTTCGTCTGTCACGTTGTGATGCTAGCCTGCACTCATGACGCTCAGGTGTTTCTGACTCTACTAGCTGCCTTTGTCTCTCACGTTGTGCTATTAACCTGGTATCATGTTGCTCAGGTGTTTCTGTTGCTAACCGTTCTCTTCGTTTCTGTAGTCGACTATGGGTTTCATTTTCACTTTCCTTTGCACGTTTCGTTCTATACTTTTCTTTTGCCTTTTCGAGCCTTCTTTTTCGTTGTGTAGCAGTTTCGTTTTTATTTTTGTTTGCTTTTTTATTTATTGTTACCATGCTGTTCCCACGATTAAGGGGCATTTTGACGGTCCACCCCCCCAGAGGTCCAGTAAAGCGGCAAATCTTAATATACAACAAGATCCGTCCGTCTTGAGTTTGAAATTTTGACATAATGACAGTATTCTGCTAGTGTAGTCCTATTATTTGATACCATAGACCTATATAGTAGGGACACGACATATTGTTCTATACGTACAATTGCTTATATAAATAGCACCCATTTTGAAGGCACACACATAAACATATATCTATCTCGTTCTTACTCAGCACTTTAACTCACAACAAAACAATATAACAGTATTTGAGTGCGTAAATAAAATGAAACATGAATATACGTAAATGCCTAATGAGGCCGAAAATCCGCCATGTTGAGCGCACCAAATGTCACGTCAGTTCGGCCGGCTGTTTTGGGTTGTACATTATTTATTGACTTTGATATCGATTTAATATGATTGCTTATATAAATTTTTATATTTTATCATGCTTAAAAAAGTCACAAGGAATGACGTTTGTAATTAATGAATAAATGTTCTGTAGGTGTTTTTTTTTCACGCGGTCCCTTGATAAGTTTAAAATTTGAATCACTCTCAAGTGAAAATGATTCTGGTGCGGCGCACCTTCCTTGAGGTGCGCTGCGGTAGTGTGTTACGGACTTTAGAGTCAGCAAAACAATTAAAATAGATTGTAATAGTCTAAGAAAAACACGTACTCAAAATACGATAACATTTAGCATGGTAGAAATGGGCAAATAGCACTGTACTACGGCATATCTTTATGTTTTGCGACAAACGACAACTTTATAAAATCAGTGTAGCAACATTTAAAAATCATCATATCGTTTACTTGACAAATTTGAAGGACGAACTTGTCTTAGATTTCACACATCTAAATCATATCATATTTGCACATAACAGTATACCTACTTACTTCCTATAAAAATATGTACCTAGTCCGCCATATTGGAACAGCGTCCATCTTGAATTTTAAATTTTGACATAATCATCGTGTTTTACTAGTGTAGCCCTTTCATTTGATACCCATATTGAGGTGTTTAAGGAAAAGTATGTAATCCGCCATTTTGTATCGGCGGCCATCTTAGATTTATAATGTCATTGATTTTATTATATTGTATTGTCATCTAAAGTAAATGTGTGTACCAAATTTCAGATCAATCTGACAACGGGAAGGTGCTTAAATTTCAATTTCTAATTTTGACCCAAATAAATAAAAAACAAATTCCGTACAGGTCGAGCTAAATAAAACCGTTTAATAANTGTAATCCGCCATTTTGTATCGGCGGCCATCTTAGATTTATAATGTCATTGATTTTATTATATTGTATTGTCATCTAAAGTAAATGTGTGTACCAAATTTCAGATCAATCTGACAACGGGAAGGTGCTTAAATTTCAATTTCTAATTTTGACCCAAATAAATAAAAAACAAATTCCGTACAGGTCGAGCTAAATAAAACCGTTTAATAAGCAACCGTTGCCTCTTATGTCATTAGGAAAATGATTGTCAGTATTATTATTTTATATTTTTATTTATTGTCGACGAGCTCATAGCCCACAGGGTGTTAAGTTGTTACCGGAGCCCATAGACGTCTACAACGTAAATGCGGCCTTGAGACATGAGTTTTAAGGACTCAGTTTTAACAGTACAACAACAACGAAAGACATTACTGCTTCACGGCAGAAAAAGGCGGGATGGTGGTACCTACCCGTGCGGATTCACAAGACTATTTCCACCCATGTTGACCGACAAGGTCAATGGCCAGAAGTGTAAGTGGAAAAAAGTGAAAGTAAATATTTGATTTTAATAAATTTTAATCCGACTAGAGTCGTTAAGGTTAGCCCAAGCGACCGACCTCTTGGCTTTATTCAATTTGTAGATAACCACGTCCTCAAAGAGCGCCCCGAAACTTGTGAAAACGCTTTTGGTGCTTCATTTCAACGCCACTCGACGCGGCAATTTATTTCGTTCTAATTGGGACTCTGGTAATGCGGTTTGGATGCGTGCTTCTGAATAATTTGTATTCGAATGTCGCGTGTATTGGAAACGCACTCGAAGATAACAAAGTCGCTTTCTCTGTCCCTATATCTGTCTGTCCCTATGTACGCTTAAATCTTTAAATCTACGCAACGGATTTTGATGCGTTTTTTTGATGTGAAGCATCTATAGCCGCACGTAAAACCGATTTCTGGCATGGCGACGCATGCCGTGGCGACGCGTCGCAATCGACTGTGCGATTCTCTCCCACTCGATCCGGCGTTAAGCCATCTCTCTCGCTAGACTGAGCTCGGATACCTATAGTGTATACTCCGTAGTGTATACAGTGTTGTTGACTACAGTACACATAACCTGTGTTTTACTTGAAAACAAATTATTTTTTCGTAATATTTGATTTTATTATTATGACATATTTAGTTCTTATCACGATCTGTTCTTTTCTGCATATTACTTTTACAAAATAATGTCGATGTTTCACATCTGCCGTCTCACTTTTTTTTAATAGATAGAGTGATTGAAGAAGAAAGTTTATATGTATAATAACATCCATTAAATAGTGGAGAAATCAATAATAAATTACAGTTTCCGAAGCGAAGCGAGGGCGGGTCGCCAGTCATCAATAATTAACATCTTATTAAACTTTTTAGGTTTCTTTTTTTTAATGCCTGTGCAGGCAGACGAGCATACGGCTCACCTGATGGGGAGTGGTAACCGTCGGCCATGGACGTCACTAGTGCCAGGGACAGAGCCAAGCCGCTGCCTACCGCTAAATTGCCGTTATTATAATATGTATAATAGGAAAATAGAGAGCTTGTTTATTGTACGATAAAATAAATGAAACTGCGGAAATGCTTCAATATTCAAGTACAATGGGCGACATATTCAAATAAAATTCGTTGTAGCCTAAGAATGCTCGTATCGAGAGATGAAACTTCGAATCCCTCAGGGCGGCACAGATTTTTCTAATAACGTACTTACTTAACACGTCCTTACTAACGACTTCCAAAATTTCGTAAATACAACTTATTTCAATTCGAGGGAATTAGATTTTATGTGTTGGCAACACATGTGACCATAAACATTATCCTAACTTTTATTCAGAAGACGAACTCTGCGGTCCCATAATGTTATGTAGACGTAGAAAAATGTTATTAACGTGATTGCCGATAGATATATAGGTTTAAAATTTATATAGGTTAAATAGATTATTTAAGATTCATTGATATGATTATAAAAGATTTTAAATTGATCACAGTAACATGGTTACCGCTCTGCATATTTTTGGCGCGAAGCAGTGTATTTAGTGCGAGTTTTTTAACGATCGCGATAGCGTAAAAGTTAACTCAAATTTGTATGCATTTGGAACAGCGCCCCTAGCGGCAAACGTTAGCAAACGATCCAACTCCATACAAATTTGAGTTAACTTTTACGTTATCGAGAACGTTAAAAAACTCGCATTAAGCACACAGATCTGTGTTCCTTTTTGTGGGGTGGGACTGTCATTGTAAAACATCTTAATTGAGAGTTTGACTTCACTTGTCGATGTAGGTGACGGCAATCAGGATGTGTGTCTATAGACTTCGGTGAGCACTAGCAGGACTGTGATTATTGATCTATTCAAGAAGCTGCAAAAATCAATTACTACGTGCATGAAATGGAAATAGGATAGTATGGGATCACAAAATAAGGTTGTTTTTAATACGCTTTTATTAGCTTCAGACGTATGTATGTTAGTATGTAACGGAATTTTTGAACATGATTTTGACCCCCTTCAAAACGTCGAATTAACTTAAAATTTGGTATACTTATTAAGGACCGATGACAATAGAATAAAAAAAAATTGAAAAAAAATATTGAAAAAATTGAAATTCTACTAAAAAATGAAAAATAAATAATAGTTTAAAAAAACTAACAAAATACGCTTTTATAGAAAATCCAACTAAAAAATAGAAAATAAATTTGAATTAAAAATAGTGCATGGTATCAGTAGTTATAAATATTTTATGAACAGATATGAGTAGAAGGGTTATTTTGATAATATCCTGAAAAGCACGCCACGCTTTTTTTACAATAAAATCATTTTTTCTTACACTATTTTAAATTCAAATTTATTTTCTATTTTTAGGTTGGATTTTCTATAAAAGCGTATTTTATTAGTTTTTTTTAAACTATTATTTATTTCTTCGATACTCACCTTCGATCGTCCCCGAACTCTCTTGCCACTGTTGAGCCTCAACCAGGCGTCCCATCGGTGGCGGTAGATCGATATGGTGTTCCAACGTCCGAGACGGACCGGCTCTGGTGACCGGAGCACACCAGCGCCGCTCCCACAGTCGAACCTAGCCGAAGAACGAAGCTTACATTATATCAATTTAGTATTCTCTTCAGTTAACACGAGTCTTAAGTATGTTTTACTGGTGGTGGGTACCGCCACCCCGCCTATTTCTGTCGTGAAGCAGTAATACGTTTCGGTCTGAAGAGTGGGCCAGCCGTAACTATACTGAGACCTTAGAACTCATATCTCAAAGGTGGGTGGCGCATTTACGTTTTACCTGTTTATGGGCTCCGGTAACCACTGAACACCAGGTGGACTGTAAGCCAACAAAATACCCTTACCCTACTTTATATTCTTACAGTGGTGGATTTACACTAGGGGCGGTCGGGGCAAGTGCCCAGGGCGGCAAATTTTTTAGGGCGGCAAAATTTTGAAAGTATTTTTTTTTTAGTCTCATCAATATTATTAATTAATTCATAATTTTCTTTTTAATTGATAATTCAAGAAATTCAATTTATCTATTATTTGTGAATTATTAACTTTGGCACTTTTGGTAAAAATTAATCATCAAAATGATTTAATCAATTTATTTCCTTGGAGATTTAAAATAATTATCGATTTTTCTATATTCTGTAATTAAAGAAATTTAATTAGTTTTTTTTTTATATAATATATTTATGAGTCACCCTTAGTAAAAATTTATAATTGTTAGAAAAAAAAAAAAAAATATTTATATTTTTGGATATATATGCACATGATAAAGTTTCCGCAATAAATTATAGTTGTTTTAAAATTCAAAAATAAAATAAATAAACTATGTATAATATGTTTAGGTAAAATTCCAGTATTGGGGCGGATTTTTTTCCGGTGCCCAGGAGCGGCATTAATATGCTTTTTTGAGACACTGTGTTGTTTACATATTCATGTACCTGGTGCCTCAAAGCAACGCAGATTTATGAATTAAATGTTTTTAATAATTTTGCTAATTATAATTTTAATTTTAATTTTACTAACATAGTTATAAGAATTACTCTACTTACAACATTCGACGCTTGAAAGGCAAACGTGACTAAGCGACAATAACTACTTTGTATATAAATGATAGGCAATAACCATATTCGATGCGCAAAAAAAAAAATTATTTCTGGGTCTATTAAAATAATTTCAATCCTACAGCTAGATTCGTTAAAATCGATTTTTTTTCAGTTATTTCAGCTTTAAATTAGTCTACTGTAAAGTTCACGCATTGTCGCTTAGTCACGTTTGCCTTTCAAGCGTCGATATATGGACTAAAGATGGTCTGACTTAAATTATTTTGTTATTGAAGTTATACTTCTTTAGAGGCTTTATGAAAAATTGACGAGAGTAAAGTTTTACGATGCGCGTGACACAAAATTAACAGAAATGAAGTTGCTCACAAGTGCTCCAATACAATTGAGGTTAACTATCCGTATATATTATTTAGTAATATAAATGACAAAATTATTATTTAATATAATTCATACTAACAATTATTAAATTATTAACGTTAAATATTTATTATTAATTATTTAATATTTAAAAAAAAGAAGTAATAAAAAAAACTTCTTACGCGCGTACGTACACGCACCCTTTTTTTTTAATTTTTTTTATCAAGTTTAAGTATGGCCCTGTATCCTTACCTCAGTTCCACGTGTCCGTTCCTCAGTAGGAGTGCCAGGTAGTCGCCGGACAGGTCGTCGTGCTCGCCGGTAAGCAGCAAAACGCCCCTGGCACGCTCGGGTCGGACTCGCAGCCGCGCCCTGACCCGCTTGTAAGCACCGCGCAGAGCTTGAAAAGCTATCCAAGAAGCTCCCGAGAAACGCGGTGTCGATACGTTCAGATCTGGAACAACGGTGTCATCAAGTTCGTCAGCGTGCCGAAGTCGTCGTGGCCTAAAGGTTAAGACGTCCGGTGCATTCGTGTCGAGCGATGCACCGGTGTTCGAATCCCGCAGGCGGGTACCAATTTTTCTAATGAGATACGTACTCAACAAATTAATGTTCACGATTGACTTCCAGGGTGAAGGAGTAACATCGTGTAATAAAAATCAAACCCGCAAAATTATAATTTGCGTAATTATTGGTGGTAGGACTTCTCGTAAGTCCGCGCGAGTAGGCACTACCACCCTGCCTATTCCAGCCGCGAAGCATGCGTTTCAGTTTGAAGGTTGGGGCAGCCGTTGTAACTATACTGAGACTTTAGAATTTATGTCTTAAGGTTGGTGGCGCATTTACGTTGTAGATCTTTATGGGCTCCTGTAACCACTTAACACCCGGTGGGCCGTGAGCTCATCTACGCAACTAAGCAATAAAGAAAAGAAAGATGGAATGTGTACTGTCTTTTTTTTAGACTAAAACTTAAATTAAATTTCTAAATTAAAAAAATATATTTTATAAATACTCCTAAGCCGCTTAAAATATAAAACTCATTTTCTTAAAAAAATTATTTAAGCCACTTCAACTCTCTAAATGTGCGAAATAGGACCCTAATAGAGTAGTAATAGGGTAAAAGTAATTTTAATTACGCTTACTACACGCGGTTACTAATTACCCGCGCTTAAGACGTGTGTATCTTTTTTTAAACGTGTACTCCGTAATACCGGGAAGCGGATTAAACTTTATGACGCCGAACGATCCCAGCGGAGCGTACTAAAAATGAAAAATCTCGTAAAATACAAGTGTTTCACCTCTTAATTACGTCAAAGACGTCGCCCCCGAGTCGAGACGGCTTATAATCCCTGAGATATTTGCATTACGAGGCTCGCCGAAAATTCACGAAATATCAAGAGAAATTTTCAGTGAAATGCCTCCTTCGAAATATGTGTAAGCTAAAACCGAGAGTAATTCGCTTGAATGATTTAATAGAGCGTTTGTTTTATTATCTCAAATTTAATTTTAAACATTTATATGTTTTACACTCGAACAATCTGCTGGGAAACGTACGAAAGAATATCGAATCATTTGGGAAACGGTCAGAAGATAGCTTGGATAGGCTAATCTGGTCAGAAGATAGCTTGGATAGGCTAATTTGGTCAGAAGATAGCTTGGATAGGCTAATTTGTTTTCTATTTACAACAGTGAAAGCATTTACTTAAAAACAAATAAAGATTTATTAGTGTTATAAACAATATCTGCTTCACGGCAGAAATAGGCGGGGTGGTGGAACCTACCCGTGCGGACTCACAAGAGGTTCTATTTATGTAAAAAAAGTTTAGCTATATCTGAAAACTTAAATATTTTTTTTCAAAATCAGTAATATAATAGTTTCCGAAATTAAGTTCAAGTTGATCTAGGCAATCTGGATAGCCTTACAAATGCAAATTTAAATCAAAATACCTTTGTAGAATGTTCTGAAAGGTAAAGGCATTGAAAATCGCGTTGTACTTTATTCGAGGTGTAAGAGCCGACAGCCTTCGGGGAGCATAGATCAAGGACCCTCGATATCACTTAATATAATTCAAGGGCCCTGCATTCTTCGAGAAATGTCGATTAAGGGCGCGCTACGAACGTTGGTAATCGAAAAATCCAGCCCTCTCCTCCAGACTAGGGCTGGCGGGAATTTTCTTTATATATTTAGAGTTGAGAATCGAGATTGAACACCAAGTTAGAGCCACGTTTTTTTTTCCTTACCTATGCTGATAGCCTTGAGAGGCTATTTCAGCTTCACCCTAATGTGTAGGTGAGCTCACGAGCTCAAACTAGAGTGTTGCTAACACTGGCCCTAGCAAGAGCAGTACTTCGCAGAATCTACCACCGGATCGGAAACGCGACCCACTGAGAAGATTTGGCGCGAAACTCAGTGGACTGCGTCTATGAGTTAATTCGCTCGTCAAGCCTTTCGTCGCAAGCGACGGCTTCGACTAGGACGGTGACCGGTGCTTGTGGTGTGGATAAAGCATCGTTAATGGATCGTGAGGATCCGCAATGATCTGTTTTGGGCGACGTCGACTGTTTACGATTCGGTCTACAGGATCGGGTATGAAAGCCCCGTGAGCTCACCTACTCGTTTGGCGAATCTAGTATGACCGCTCGAGATCACTAGAACAGGTTGAAAAAAAAAAGAATGAAGTTCGCGTCAAGGCACCTGAAGGCCTATTTCAGTCGTAAAGCAGTAATGCGTTTCGGTTTGAAGGGCGGGGCAGCCGTTGTAACTATACTGAGACCTTAGAACTCATACCTCAAGGTGGGTGGCGGCATTTACGTTATAGATGTATATGGCCTCCGGTAACCACTTAACAACAGATGGGCCGTGAGCTCGTCCACCGAAAAACCAATTAAAAAAAGACTTGAGGTATTGTGCAACGTATAACTGTCGTTTGAAACCAGAACAGGATTGATTTAAAAAAAAAAACAGCAGAAAATGAACCTTCGCGCCATCCCTGAGCAGATACCGTCAAAATCACGCAGCGTTCAGTGAAAAGGTGTTATCGATTTTATTGTTTGCCTCAGTATTCCTGAATAACAGGTGAAGTTCGGGCCTTTGAGCGGAGAAGCTCCTAAACGTAAATTGAAGTTCGTCCTTGTAAAGTTTTATAGAAAATAACGCGTTCTTAAAACACATAGGTAATTTCACGGTATTTACCTTATTGATGTCTATGCGTTCCAGTTATTACTTAACACCGGATTAACCCTGAGTCCGTACATCAGTCGAAGCAATAAAAAACAAAAAAAAGGCACATCCAAATCTGGAGATAAATGGTCAGCATAAATTAACCTCATCATAAATCGTTGAGCCGAATAAACATAGAGTATGTATGAAATTAAGACAGATTACCTCGTTAAACAAATATTGTTACCTAATAAATATAAATTACGTACCTAAATTATTACTGTCAGAAAGAGAACTGTGTTTCGGCTAATGAAATTGTATTAAAATTATAATTCATGCTGTCTTTTTCATTTATTTATACTATTATTTCGTCACAGCGTAAATTTCTCGTGAATACGTAACACATTAGAATATCTATAAGTACATATCGAGGGGTCAAAGGGTGTTTGGTTTTAAATATGCTTTTAAAAATTTTAAATCTCGAAAAATATCATAACAAAAACAACTTCTTCAGCTATTTGAATGAAGTAAACTTAATTGAAATTCAATTAAAAAACATCGAACTGTTGCTGCTAATACCAAATAAATCGCACCTTTAATTACAAAGATAGATGTCGCGTAATAAGCGAAATGTCGTTTAAACCGAATAGCTTTTTACCCCTCGATAAGGATAACACAAAACGATAGTTAGTAGGTATATTATTATTTCGAAATTCTAACATATCCGGTTTTCCTATCTAGCAACCCTGTACGAGGTTCGGCCAGCGGAAGTGGTTGTCCGTAATGGCGACCGCAAATTCCGCTCCCTATATTTTGTTAAACCTAACTAACTTTAGGAAGTCCGGTCAGAATATAACTGGTAGTTAGTATTTTCACAAAATTGACCTGATATTAAAGTTAGATTTAATTTATCTTTATCAAAATTTCCGTAAATAAAACTATTATCCACGATGCTCGACACATCAGTCGCTAACTTCTCCATTACCGAATCAGTCAGAGTTTAAACTCTTTAAGTAGTTATTCGTTTGTTTGTCTATGCACGCCAGTCTCCGCATTGGACGACCAAAATAAGTTTTAAGTCGACAATTATCAGATTCGAAGATTTTAGGAAGACGATAGCGTTCATAAACTTTAGAATTCTAAAAGTTAATTACGATCGCTCGATAAGCGGGCACCGAATTTGTATTTTATCATACACGAACGACGGCCATTTTGTCGAAACTTTAACAAACAAATTTCAAAATGTCGGTCGCGTTTCGGGAATACGAGTTCGTTTATGTGTTAAATTGTTCTGTTAATTTATCTGATTCGAATGCTTCGAGTCGAGATTACTTTGAACAGGCGTCGTAAACAATTGTGCTGTATATTATACCTTTTTTTATTGCTTAGATGGGCGGACGACTCACAGCCCAGCCGGTGTTAATTGGTTACTGGAGCCCATAGACATCTATAACGTAAATGCGCCACCCATCCATCTTTCACCCATCATCATCACATTTTGAGATATAAGTTCTAATGTCTTAATTATAGTTAAAACGGCTGTCCCACCCTTCAAACCGAAACGCATTACTGCTTCACAGCAGAAATCTAAGGCAGAAATACACAGGGTGATGTTACCTACCCGTGCAGACTAACAGTACGTCCTACCACCAGTAAATAAGCAAATATAATTTTGCTGGTTTGTTTTTTATTACACGATGTTATTCCTTAACCGTGGAAGTCAATCGTGAACGTTTTAGTATAGAACGTTTTAGTTTTAGTCTTAAGTATGTATTTCGTTACAAAAATTGGTATTTACCTGCGGGATTCTAACACTGGTACAGTCTCATCGCTCGATACGAATGCATCGGACTCATATCTTTCACGGTTAGGTTCATATCACGACGACTATAACCATGTGAATCATGAAGTTATTCAATGAATTATGAGAAATTAGTCCAGTAAATATGCACTACGCTTGATTCTAACAGTTACGATGCTCTCATAGTAGGGAGAACAAGACAAGATGGCGCAACATCGTTAGGACCAAACTCAAGGATAGAAGTGGTCATGACCCTCAGACATGACGAGATTAGCTGAAGGAGTGATTAAATGTACTTCTCTAATGAGTTACCGTGAAAAGTATTTAGCACTCAGACACAGCCCACTGAGTTTCTCGCCGAATCTTCTCAGTGGATCGCGTTTCCGATCCTGTGGTAGAATCTGCAAAGCACTGCTCTTGCTAGGGCCAGTGTTAGCAACGTCTTCAGATGAAAGCCCCGTGAGCTCACCTACTCATCCGTTCTGGCATAAACTCCTAGGTTGCATAATATTATTACAAGAATACTTATTCTATATCTTTGATCTGGAAAGCAGAGTATTACCTGGTTTACACCTTCCAGGGTTGAGGTGGCATAAACACCTTCCTTCCGTGCAGCTGTCGCATTTGCAGGTCTCGACTGCAGCAGTCCAGGCTGGGGAGCCTGTTCCGCCTGGCACCTGGACGAAACACAACGCTTGAAGCTATTGAAAGGATGTCGAAGTAGCACATGCCGATGTTTAATTAAACTTAGTAATTGAGTCGTCTATTATCAAAGGCGGCAATCTGTACATTTGGACAAAAAAAATTTATTGATATGTCAATACAGATTGATTTGAATATAATCGTCTCCTTCAAAGAATACGGTTCAAAACCTGCATTAAATAAAGGTTAATAGTTAACCTGTTATTTATCTAAGATGTCGTTCCGAAGAGTTTTGTGACTGCCAATGGAATACAAAGTCAATAATTCGTTTTTCTGATTTACCAATCATTGTCCAAAAGTCAGATTGCCGCCTTTGATAATAGTCGACTCAATTATGATGCAAAGTGTACTAGCAGTCTTAATAAACATCATTTTACAATTAAAATATCAAGAACGTAATTTTTCATCTTTCAGTTTTGGCGGGCTTTTTTATCTCCCGACCACAGCTTATAACACTGTGTGCCGTGACGTTGTCAGAGGTAGAACATAGATTTCCAGAATGTTTTTTTTTCCATGTTTTGTGTTTTATAATTCCAAATCTATTTTCGTTTTCATTTCATATTTTATTAAGAAGTTTTTTTTATTTATTTTTTTTTATCGCCCTTGTAGGCAGACGAGCATACGGCTCACCTGATGGTGAGTGGTTACCGTCGCCCATGGACCTCAGCAATGCCAGGGGTAGAGCCAAGCAGCTGCCTACTGAAGTTGTTAGTGAACGAAATGACAGACTCACGTTTATTTAAGGAAAATCGATGTACATATTTAATCAAACCATAGATAATTATATGATTAACAATCATCTTAACTTAGATCTCAGACGTAGCACAGAGACGAAATATAAAAATAAAAATAAACTCACCTTCTGCTCTAGATTGGGGCCAAGCGTCGTGTATTCCTTTGGGTCTTCTTTTTCCCTCTCATCGTCAGCTATGATATTAATATCCGCTCTACTGATTCCGTCTTCGATTAAACTCTTCAAGCCGTCGTTCAGCTTAGAAATCTCCCCGGTTACTGTGTAATTATTGTTTTTAATCATCGGCAGTGTTGTTAGACTGTTCGAATCTTCGATATGTGTATTGCTTAATGTAGGCTTATATCTACTGGACGGTGCTAACTCTAGTTCAGCCGAGAAAGAAACGTCTTTCTGGTATAGTATATCTTCTTCCGCATCCAAACTTGTTGTTGTTGTTCTAGTTGAGTTTAATTCTGCGGGCGAAAAGGCTACGTTCAATTCCATAATCTTATGGGCTACTACAGAGTATAGGGACAGTGGTGGTCTGTGGTTGACACAAAAAAAAAATCAATTGATTTTGTGATTACGGTCACATTCACCTAATTTTTTTAACTACCTACATGTGTTATTTATAAAATGGATAATCTTTATATTTAAATTTCTTTTGTGCGTGTGTTTGTCACTGAACTCCTCTTAAAAGGCTGGACCGATTTGAATGAAATTTTCTGTGTACCTTCAGGTGGATTCGAGAATAGTTTAGATTTACAATCAGCCCGGAAGATGGCGCTGTAGTCGGTATCTAGGCTATTTATCTTTCCTAGAAATAATTTATATGGCAAAACAAGGTTTGCCGAGTCAGCTAGTAAGGTAATTTTGGCAACTATTGCAGTATTTAATTTAAATTATGAGAAATACGAACTGACAACGTTGAAATCTCTCCGGTTGCACTCAACAGAAATAAAAAAAAAATGTCATCCCATTAAACATTAAAGTTCTCATTCCGATGAAATTATTTTTCTGAATCACGTCATTTCATACTGATTTTCATCAAACAGCTACGATTCATCACAGATTACCCCAAAAATAAATTCTCAAGTTCATACATTCGAAGACAGGAAATCGTTTGTGAAAATTTCAAGAGGCACTTCCGTCGCACACGAAGCTCCAACGGGCAAAGTGCGCTTTAGAAAGCTACATCGCATTGAATACACGAAGGAGATTCACATACTTACAAGATTTATCTTAGGAATAGCGAGAAATTCCTTTTATTTCGCTTTCATTGCTGTCACGCGTCCGCCGTTAAGGTTACAAGGCGAACGAATGGTTTTGAATTGAAGTTTAGTTGTAAATAAAAAACTGAGGTGCACTCAACGGATAGCTGTATAATTGGGGATTAGATTGGGGAAAACACCGCGTTTCCTATAACGTTTCCTATAACTGTTCCCTATAACTGTTCCCTATAACTGTTCCCTATAACTGTTCCCTATAACTGTTCCCTATAACGTTTCCTATAACTGTTCCCTATTCTGTTTTCTATAACGAAGTTAAATTGATCACTTTCGTGACAAAATATTGAGAAATTACAAACAACAAATAAAGTTTTAATTTTAATTTAATCGACTCAAGGCCAAGGCAGTTATGGGACTGTTAAAGATGATAATGTTATAATGTAACAAAATATAACATATCCATAATTAGGAATTCTGATCCGGCATGAGCCGGAATGAGGCGCTTGGAAAAACATTAGTTGGCTTGTTTAAATGACTTTAACTTCGACTTATCACCAATTTTTTTCGGGTAGGGTCTAAACCTCACACTTGAGGGTTCTAGAGAACACATAAAGTCCATAGTTTTGTGGAGAAGTCACGTTAATATTTCACCTAGCTTGAACTATAAGGCTTCAATCGAATTGATACAATATATTGTTACGCCGGTAAGAGTAACGCCATCTATAGCTGAATAGTCGAACGAATATCGAAGGATCGAGAATGCTCGAGAATTACAACGCCATCTATTGATAGATAACGAAAACTACGACTAGAGATGTGTAGAATATTCTCGATGATTCTATGGATGAGGTATCGGCTATAAAAGCGTTGTAGAGATGGCACGTAGTCCGTGAGTAGTCGGAACTACTCGAAGCGAAACAGCGAACGGATCGCCTGATGCGAAGTGGGACAAGCGAATTGAGAGTTTTACAGTATTTATTGAGTGTTTTAAGTGCTCTAAGTGTTGAATACAGTTTTAAAGGTTTCGTCAAACAGAACGCGTAATTAGCGCGCGTCAGAGCGCTACGCTATGACGCCGAGATGTGTTGTACTACTATGGTAACATACCGTCAAACAGAGCGCCAGCGCTATAGCCAGCAGTCATAGCGCGGCGTCAGTTTAGCGCTCTGACGCGCGCTAATTACGCGTTCTGTTTGACGAAGGCTTAAGTTGTACTTTGGTGAAATTTTATTTATCCCGAACCCCAGCGCGTGTCCAATATATTATTATATATATTGTAGATTACCTAGGCAGCCGTAGCCGTCGACTTGGAGCACGTAGCCAGGTCCACATCCACATTCGTATGTACCGTCGTGGAGTTCTCTGCAGAGTTGCTCGCATGGGCTACCTTCGCCGCACCTTCCTGTAACAAGTTTTCATTCAACATTTCTTTTTCTACTAATGCTGATATCCTTGAAAGGCTATATCAGAGTTACCCTAGCGTTTAGATGAGCTCACGGGGCTCAAACCAGGAGTGTTGCTAATAGTGGGCTTGGCAAGAGGAGTGCTTCGCAGACTCTACCATCGGATCGGAAACGCGACCCACTGAGAAGATCCGGCAAGAAACTCAGTGGGCTGTGTCTGAGGGTTAATTTAATCGTCGAGCTCTTCGTCGCAAGCGACGGGTTCGGCAAGAACGAGGACGGGTGACCGGTGCTTGAGGCATCTAAAAGTTGTCGTGGCCTAAGCGATAAGACGTCCGGTGCATTCGTGTTGAGCGATGCACCGGTGTTCGAATCTCAGGCGGGTACCAGTTTTTCTAATGAAATACGTACTCAACAAATGTTCACGATTGACTTCCACAGTGAAGGAATAACATCGAGTAATAAAAATTAAACCCGCAAAATTATAATTTGTGTAATTACTGGTGGTAGGACCTCTTGTGAGTCCGCGCGGGTAGGTACCAACCACCGCACTGCCTATTTCTGCCGTGAAACAGTAATGCGTTTTGGTTTGAAGGGAGGGGCAGCCGTTGTAACTATACTGAGACATATGACAATTGTTTCTTTGCAATTAAATTTTTTACGGGCTTTCCGAACAAAAGCTGTTTGTTTGGTTTATGCGTCATTTATATTTTTAATTAAGGATGCCTTTTTATTTGGTATTAGCATCAACAGTTCGATATTTTTAATTCAATTTCAATTAAGTTTACTCCATTCGAATAACTGAAGAAGTTTTTTTGGTATGTTTTTTTTTTCCAAATTTTAAATTGTGAATGGCTCTAATGTGAAGTTGCTAAAATGTGGCATAAATTAAATTTTTAATTAAAGCCTTTCACTCTTCGATATGGTAGTACACTTCCATGGAAGCATATTTCGATTTAAAAAAAAATCGGTTGTCTGTAAAGTTAGTTTACTGACGATAGTTAAACGTGACAACGTCATAAGAAAATAGTGATGGAATGGTTTCATTTTTCAATTATCGCAATTATCGTTGCTATTAACAATTGACACCACATTCACTTTTCACTGAACTTCACACTTGACGAAAACATGTAAATGTATTATTGTATAGCAGCTGTCCACGCGGATGCATCGCTCATTCAAGTAGGACAGAGACAGATGTCGAACGCTGCCGAACGCGGAGGCCGATTTTGCCTCTTTGTCGCTCGTTGCGCGCTCTCGCTTGCACTTCAAGCCTTAAATGGAACACCCAGAGCGAGGTAACGCCGCATGAGTCATGTTTATTCGTGCGAGTAGCCGGCTCCATCGAATTATAAGACGTTATCACGTCAAAACAACTAAGGAAATTGAAACTTACGAAGACTTACAAAAGGCGATGTAATCAACATAAGCAGTGGTTTAGATTAGAAGGTTAGAAACCCTAATGCGGACGTCACTAATAAATAAACCAAAGGTAAACCAAAGGAAGCTACTAAATTAATTCGTATGGGAGCAAACGCGGAGTCCACATTCATCTCGTTTAAGAAAGCAATATATGTTTCAGGGAAATGCGTTTCAAGTTCCATCACAGTACCTAATCTCATATTTATGAGCCTACGATATTGATGTTACAGAATTCTTTCATTTTCCTCGTTTATTTTTTATTAAGTAAACATTATTTTGGAACCGGCCGTTTCCATACGTTCCGTTACTGGTGATAGGACCTCTTGTGAGTCCGCGCGGGTAGGTACCACCACCCTGCCTATTTCTGCCGTGAAGCAGTAATACGTTTCGGTTTGAAGGGCGGGGCAGCCGTTGTAACTATACTTGAGACCTTAGAACTTATATCTCAGGGTGGGTGGCGCATTTACGTTGTAGATGTCTATGGGCTCCAATAACCACTTAGCACTAGGTGGGCTGTGAGCTCGTCCACCCATCTAAGCAATAATTTTTTTTTATCATAAGCTAATCTTTTCTCATTCGTCCCCAGATCAAAACCCATCATAGTGCGTATTAAGAGATCTTAAGACGTGAAATTTGTGAGCGTAGTAACATCTCTAAACGAATTTTGAATAGTCTGCAGCGGTAGGAGGTGAGCTAGCCGGGTTACTGGTGACGCTCACGTCTATGAACGATGATGACCACCTCCCATTAAATCTTCGGTCTTCGTAGGGTTCATTCAGAATAATTCCTATAAATGATCACGAATAACTTCCACCACAAAAAAATACTAGGTTCTGAGAATCCTATCTAAGCTATTTTATTACGCTTTTATTAGCTTCTGACGTATGTATGTGTATGTAACGGAATCTTTGAACATGATTTTGACCCCCCTCAAAATGTCGGATTAACTTGAAATTTAGTATACTTACTAAGGACCGATGACGATTCAATATTTAAAAAAAAGTTGAAAAAAAACTGATTGAAAAAATAGAAAATAAATTTTAATAAATTTGAATTAAAGATAGTGTAAGAAATTTTTTTTTTATTGTGAAAAAGACGAAAATAAGAAATCATCTTAATTGGATTTTCTATTAAAAGCGTATTTTGATAGTTTTTTTAAACTATTATTTACTATTTATTTTCTTCAAAACCAATACATTTCAACATGAACATAGCCTATCAGAAATTTCCCAATCGCAATCGTCATCACATCGAATTTATACCGTACGATCCGAAGTCCTACTCCTGACGGCACTATCATCTATCAATAACGCCCGATGACCCACATCTGCTTCCGATTATTGAATTATCGTGTTGACGGGAAACGTTTGCAGAATTTTCCGCCTGCTAATCATGTGTTCGTTTGACCTTTAATATCTTTTTCCTCTCGTATTTTTTTCTATGCTTTTTGAGACCATTTTTTTTATTGCTTATTGCTTAGATGGGTGAACGAGCTCATAGCCCGCCTGGTTTTAAGTGGTTACTGGAGTCCATAGACATCTACAAAGTAAATGCGCCACCCACCTCGAGATATAAGTTCTAAGGACTCAAGTATAGTTACACCGGCTGTCCCACCCTTCAAACCGAAACGCATTACTACTTCACGGCAGAAATAGGCGGGGCGGTGGTATCTACCCGCGCGTACTCACAATAGGTGCTACCACCATTTGGTCAGAAGATGGTGTGCAACCTTTCAGCTGCACACCATAAAGCACTTTATTCACTGGTCTTTAGATACCAAATTCAATGCCAGGTATATTTATCAAAAGAAACGCGTTGAGTACGCCCTCTAATCTTATTAAATTATTAAAACAGCCCGTCTTTGTTCTGTGTCCGGTTTCAGAACCGCCTTTATCTTCTTTAACCTTTCGTCCGAATCCCGTCCACTTGTTTAATTGCGAAAGTAAAGTTATTTCGAGACTTGAAAGGTTTTCACGCGAAGCTCGGGAAAATTTCATATTAATGCTCAGTGTGTGTGAAATTCTCGACGCCGAAGACTGATGGAATTTTATGAAATGTATATACTATATATAAATATGTGTATATGTATAGAACTTAATGATACGCTTACCCATCTCTATAGACTTTAAAAATTTGGTAAAGGTAAAGGGCCTAAATTGCTTTAGTTGTGTGAAAATGTATTATTTACTCGCTGTTAGCGTGATTGTATTTTTTTTCTTTTTGTAAAGTGTCACCTTGTTCCGAAGGGACATTTTACTCCGCTTACAGACCATATAATCTGCCGAGGATAAGCGCGGACTGATTTTATATGCGGGTGGAATATCATGGATGCATCCAGGGTGACACCCAGGACCTTCCTGGCCCAGGGTATGAATTGGCCGAAGAGGGTGATCGGGGGTGTGAGATATCACCTCCCACTCCGGGAGGAAACCTGTGTGGAGTTTCCCCTTTGAAAAAGCAGTGTTTGTATAGTGGCGAAACAAAACAAGAGTTTGAAATCTTTTAATAGAAAGTGATGACAAACACGTTATGGTTTGTGAAAATAGAAAATTGTCTTCGACAAATTTTCTTTTCAACATTTTTGATAATGTATAAATAAATAAAAAACACAAATTAAAAAACCGCTGACTGGTCGGAACAGCATGAACTTGAGGCCAGTTTTGGTCAAGAGAGGGTAAATGGTCGACACCAGGTCCAGTGTGTTTAGTGCAAGTTTTTTAACGTTCTCGATAGCGTAAAAGTTTACCCAATTTTGTATGCAGTTGGAACAGCGCCCCTAGCGGCAAACGTACGCAAACGATCCCATTCCATACAAATATGAACCAACTTTTACGCTATCGAACATCCCGACAGGAGCCCTCTTCTTCGATATAGCGAAGGCGTTCGACAAAGTCTGGCACAACGGTTTGATATACAAACTGTATAACATGGGAGTGCCAGACAGACTCGTGCTCATCATACGAGACTACTTGTCGAACAGTTCGTTCCGATATCAAGTCGAGGGACCGCGCTCTCGTCCTCGTCACGTTACAGCCGGAGTCCCGCAAGGTTCCGCCCTCTCCCCGTTACTGTTCAGTTTGTATATCAATGATGTACCCCGGTCTCCGGGGATCCATCTGGCGTTCTTCGCCGATGACACGGCTATCTACTACACGTGTAGGAAGAAGTCGTTGTTACATCGGCGACTCCAGACCGCAGCTACCACCATGGGACAGTGGTTCTGGAAGTGGCGCATCGACGTCAATCCCACGAAAAGCACAGCGGTGCTCTTCAAATTAACTCAGTAAATTAACCCTCAGACACAGCCCACTGAGTTTCTCGCAGGATCTTTTCAGTGGGTCGCGGTTCCGATCCGGTGGTAGATTCTGCGAAGCACGGCTCTTGCTAGGGTTCGTGTTAGCAACGTCATCAGGTTTGAACCCCGTGAGCTCAACTACTAGTTAAGGTTACGCTGATATAGCCTCTCACGGCTATCAGCTTAAATAAGTAGGTAGCGATCGAGCCAAATTTTGTTATCAAATTAACGCAACCATTAAGACAAAATAATCGGTCGTGATCATGAAAATCAGAGTAAACA